CACCCCCAGCCCTCCTCCCGGCCAGCGCGGCCCCCAGCACCCCAGGGTGCAGGGTTCAGCCTCGGCACGGTGCCCGCATGGTGCCACCCTTCCCTGTGGCACACCCCAGCCCCATTTTGGCATTGCTGCATCCGCGCTGTCCCATCCTTTCTCATTCTCTCTCATCCCTTCCCATTCTGTTCCATTCCATCTCTTCCCATCCTATCCCTTCCCATTCTATCCCATCCCTTTCCATCTCTTTCCATCCCATTACTTCCCATCCCACCTCATCCCATCCCCATTCTATCCCATCTCCATTCTATCCCATCCCTTCCCATCTCTTCCATCCCATCCCATCACTTCCTTCCCTTCCCATCCCACCCCATCCCTTCCCATCTCTTCCATCCCATCCTTTCCCATCTCTTCCATCTCATCCTTTCCCATTCTATCTCTTCCCTTCCCTTCCCATTCTCTCCCATCCCTTCCCATTCTATTCCATCTCTTCCCATCCTATCCCTTCCCATTCCATCCCATCGCTTCTCTTCCCATTCTATCCCATCCCTTCCCATCTCTTCCCTTCCCATTCTACCCCATCCCACCTCCATCCCATCCCATCCCATCCCATCCCATCTCCATCCCATCCCATCCCTTCCCATTCTCTCCCATCCCATTGCTTCTCTTCTTGTTCTATCCCACTGCTTCCCATCCCTTCTCATCCTTTCCCATCCCTTCCCTTCCCATTCTACCCCATCCCATCTCCATTCCATTCCATCCCATCCCTTCCCATTCTCTCCCACCCCATCCCATCACTTCCCATCCCTTCTCTTACCATCCTATCCTTTCCCTTCCCATCCCATCCCACCCCGCTGCCGTCAGGGACGCTCACCTTTCTGCCCTTCTCGTTGTCAGGCAGGTAGCAGTGCCGCGGGAAGCCGCGTGCCGTGAACTTCTTGCCAGGATTGGGGTGCTCCGGGCCCTGGGTGGGAGAGCACTGGGGTAAGCGGGTGGCACAGGGTGGGGGGCACCCAGGCCAGCGAGGGTCCCGGGGGCAGAGGGTGCAGGTTCCTCACCTGGATGCCGGTGGGGATGTCGTAGACGATCCGGATGGTTTTGGAGTCGGTGTAACCCGGGAGGGAGTGGGGGATGAGGTGAAACTCCATCTTCCCGGGGGGCTGCGTGCCCGTCTTCTCCCCGTAAATGGCCTTACAGGTGGGGCACTGCAGACTGCCGTCCTGCATGGGCACCCCGGGTGGGCGTCAGGGATGGCACCCACCCCACAGCACCCACCCGCAGGGTGGTGGGTGACCGCAGGGAGGGCATCTCCCCGCGGGAGGGGGGTGTCCCAGCTCACCTTGTTGCCGTTGTTGTACATGGCCAGGAGGCAGAGGAGGTGGTACATGTGCCCGCACTTGCCCAGTTTGCCCACCAGCTCTGGCTTGATGCCCCTGTGGCTGAGGACTCCCTCGTAGCCGGAGGAGGTGACCAGCCGCTCCATGCAGATGGTGCAGTCCTGCTGGGCACGGGTCGATGGGCATTAGCACCCCAGGTGCGATGGGGAGGTCACCCCCGGCTCTCTGCCCACCACGGGGGGCTGCCCAGCCCTTACCCGCACCTCTCCCCACGCTGGAGCTCCCTGAAACTCCAGCGGCCCCGTGGGCTGAGCTGTGGTGCCCAGGGATGCCCACTCACCTCATCCGGGGGGTTCTTCACCTTCTGGATGTAGCGGCGTACCACGTCCTCAGGGGTCTTGCCTGCCACGAGCAGAGCAGGGGATGCCATCAGAGCCTGCCCGCCTTGCCCCCCACGCCCCACCCCCCCTGCCACCAGGATGGGGACAGCACGAGGAGGAGGAGGTGCCAGCACGTGGCACAGAGAAGCTGTGGGCATCACCCCAAAATCCTCGGGCAAACCCCTTGGGGACCCCACCCCTGCAGGCAGCAGCAGTGCCCGTGCCCCAGTCCCCACTCCGTGGCATGGCTGAGGGCATGCAGGGAC